AGCCTGGCTCACCAGATGCACCCTAAAGGGACCCCCGGGCGCGGAAAGCACTTTACAGACATTGGTCGGATGGGAGCCGTCCAGCCCCGGGGGGGAAGGGGCCAAGGGCTGGGCCCAGCGGGCAGGTGGCAAGCCCCGGGCCCGGCCACCCCTCCTCCTGCAGGCCAGCTGGAATGGGGCGGAGGGAGGGCTGCAGCGGGGGGAGGGGGGGCCGGGGGTGGTGCCAAAGCAGTGCAGGTCTGGGCTGAAGAGGATGCGCCCCCCAACCCCAGGCCTAGCAGGGTCCTGTGCCCTCAAGGAGCCCTCTCCTCTCCCCAAACATAGGACTCTGAAAACCCCCCCTTTCTATCCTATTCTGGCCCCTCCCAGTGGAGGAAAAGGGGGACCCAGACCTGCCAGCTAAGATCTGGGGTGGGGGCTGACGGAACCCCCAAAACGTATTGCTTAGAAACTTGGAGGCAGAAAGGATGGGGAGAGCCCGGGGGCTGGCATCTCTGACCCTCCCCCCAGGCCCGAGGGACCCTCTAGGAGCGCCCAGCCCCAGCCAGCCATCTGGCCGAGGGGGTCCAGAGGCAGGGGGATGGGCACAGTGACCACTGGGAGTCTGAAGTTCCTCTGTCTTGCTGCCAGGAAAGTAAAGTGCGCCCCAATGGGTATGGAGGGGGCCCTCCCCACCCCCTCGATCTGGCATTTGGCCTGGGGTGCGCTGTCTGTTCCACGACCTCCATGCTCCCTGGGAGCAGATGGGGGAGCCAGTCCCGATGGATGGTGCTGATGACGTCGACCGCGTTGGACTCGGGGCGCCTGGGGAAAGAGGCGCCCGGGAGCTGGCCGGCGCCTTCACGGCAGCCCCGCCTGCCCAGCCCGGCTGGCCCCGCCCAGGGCCCGCAAACGCGTGGGTGCAGAGGCGCCCGGCGCACGGCAATCACCCCCGACCACCTGACCACGGCGCTAGCTGCCCACCTGCTGGGCCCCGGCCACCGCACCCCGCCCAGAGGCGCCCCTTCCCCCTGGGGCTGAGACGGGGTGCGGGGGGTGGGGGGGGGATTCCCCTGCCTCCCACTCACGCCCGGCCTCAGCCGGGCGCCATCCTCCATTCCCCGGCCTGGAGCGGGGAGGACAGCGTCCACCCACCGACTCCCAGCGACGGGCTTCAAAGACGGAGGCCCCCCACGCACCCCCTCCGGCCCCGGAGCCCGCAGCGCACCTGGGCCGCCGGCTAGTCCAGGTTCCCGTTCTGGTTGTGCTCCTCCTCGGCAGGGGAGGGCGGGGCCTCTTCCTCGCAGGGGGACAGCTCGTCGATGGACATCTGGTTGGTGATGCCTGCAGGGGCGGGGGCCAAGAAGCGTTTTCCACAAGACCCAAGAAAGATGGGGGGCAGATAAGGGGCTCCCAGCGAACCCCAACGGGGCCAGGGGCAGCCTCTCGGCCTTGCTGAAATTCACCACCCTCTGTGCCCGCGAAAGGCAGAGACTTCTCCGCCAGGGCCGCCCGCCACCCAACCCGCAGGCCACCACTTACAGGCCACATGGGCCAGGCCCGGCTGCGGGGGCCCCGGCTGGGGGGGGGGCCTGGCTGCGGGGCGCCGACCCTGCTCGCTCTGGTCCCCTTTCTAGAGCACAGTGGGGGCCCAGCAGCTAGCACGCAGCCTCTGAGCTGACTGAGAAGCCCAACAAAGAGCTGCTGGGGGGCGGGGGGGGGGGCGCTGCCCCAGGCCCCACCTGTCCCCACCCCCCAGCGGCACCCACCGCTAGCCGCTCGTTCCTTCCACTTCTGCTTGTTCTCCTGAATGTACTTGGTCCAGGTCGCACGGAACCGGACCACGTCAGGGTTGGGGTCTCCGACTTCCACATCCAACGAAGGCTGGCGCCACTGGAGGCTAGGTGCAGGGCCCCCCAGTTCCAGAAGTGAGACCCCAGCCACTGCAGGGCCGCCTGGCAGCCCCCAGCGTGGAGGGGGTGGGAGAGCGGGGCAGGCTGAGGGAGAGCCCGCTCTCTGTGCTAGGCACACCCCGAGTTCCCGCCCCTCGCCCCACGCCCCCACCCATGTGCTCCCCGAGGACGGAAAGCGCAAACAGGAGGCCACAGGCAGCCCCAGAAAGAGCCCGCGTGGGCGGCCGGACACAGGTGCGGCCCACACACCCCCCCCCCGATCTGCCGTGTGGGGACAGGCAGCCGCTGGCCGCCTCCCCGCCTCCCCGCCCCGGAGCCGGCCCTCCCGGCCTCTCCTCCAGCACCGCGCCAGGCGGCCGCACCTGGGCTGACTTTTGGCCTTGGAGTCCTCGTCCGCCTGCGGCTGGACGCTCTTCTCGGCCACGTCCGTCAGGACGGAGAAGGTGGGCTCCACGATGAAGTCGATGAATCCTGTGGGGGCGCCCCGTGAGCAGGCCCCTCCCACGCTCGCGCCCCTATCCCCACGTGGCCACTGGGCGGTGGGGGGACCAGGGCCCAACACTCCCCAGCGGGGACCGGCTTCGGGGTGCCGTCTCTGTGACCCCAGAGAACGCCCCCCCCGCTCCCTCTTGGCCTCCCACCCATGACCCCAGACTTGCATGGCAGCTTGCCTCCGCAGGAAGAAGGGCTCGGGCTTTCACGTCCAGCCCGGCCAGCACCCCCCGACGCCGGCCGGACACTCACTCACCGATCTGGGACTGCGCCACCATGGTGGACGTGCGGTCACAGAGCGGCGAGAAGGGCAGGCCCAGCTCCGCTTCCTTGTCGCCCTGGGGAGACGACAGGAGGGGGACGCTGGAGGGGACCCCCAGACACGCCAGACCCGGAGTGCAGCTTGGGGTGAGGGCCGGGGAGGGGGGGGATGTGCGGGTGCCTTTGACCCGAAAGCAAGCGAGCCTGTCAGCAAATAGCGGGAAGACCTGAGGCCGTGGCTAGGGTTTGGGGTCGGGGGAGCTCCCAGGGAGCCAGGGAGGTCTGGAGAGGAGTGGGGACCGCGGCCAGCGCAGCGCCGGGCTGTGGCCAGCTACCTGGCGGAAGAACTCCTCCATCAGGGCCTTGGTCCAGCGGCTGTGGACCGACCACTGCTTGGTCGGGTGGCTGATGTCCGCCGCGTGCAGAAGCAGAGACAGGGCCTTGGGCTTGTCGATCCTGGTCGGGCAGGTGGGGGACAGGGCACGGACCTTTCAGGCCTAGGCCGCCCCCTGCTCCCGTGCTCGCCCCCGGCGGCGCCCCGTTAGGGCAGCGCTGGGCAGCTGGCGCAGCCCCTGCAGTGCGAGTGCCCCCCGCCAGGGAGCGACCCCAGGGCACGGCAGCCCCCTCCTGTCTTCCGGCTGCCCCCTCAGCAGTGGGTTTCCACAATCCGCCTGTCCTGCTCCCCACTCTGTCTCTGGGGCGTCCTCTCACCGCCCCTGCACCTCTGGCCCGTGCCCCAGCTCTGTCTGCATAAATAATCTTAAAAAAAGAAAAAGATCCTTCCGCAAACACACGCACACGTGTGTGCGCTTGTGTGAGGTCAGGAAACCACCGGGGTCTCGGGCCGAGAGCCGGGGTTCAGCCCCACTAGCCCACCGGCGGCACGGAGCACGCTGCTGAACAAGCCCACATTGCATTTTCCGCAGAATCTGCCAGAGAGTGCTCTGAGCCCCGACGGGCCCAGAGGGGTGCCTGGCGTGGGGGGGGGGGGGCGGTCCCTGTTATCTAGAATTGGGGCTGCTGCAGTCACGGGGGCGTGGCCGCCTCCTCCCCAGCGGGGACACGCTCTCCCGCACACCCCCCCCCCAACACGCATCTGCTTTCTCACACACACACTGACACCCCACCATTTTTAAGCCCTGGACGTCACTGTGGCGTTCGTCTGTGTTCCTTTTCAACCTCGTGACTCTCCCCCAAGGGCCCGATGGGGAGCAGGAGCTGGCCGGGCTGCTGGACACTGGGGGGGTGTCACCTTCACGTCACCGTGAAGGAATCCAGTCCCAGCACCCCAGAGCCAGCCTGCCGGGCGCGGCCGTGGCCACGCCGCCTCAGACCCCACCCCAAAGTGCAGTCCAGGCCGCCTGGCTGTGCGTGAGCAGGGCCGTGGGCACACACGTCACACACTGATCACCCGGGCCACCCGCCCCCGCTGACGCCACCTCTCCAGCTGCTGCAAGGCCGTCTTCATGGTCTTCACTTGCTGGAAATGGCAGGACATGTCTGTGGCTAGGACCATCTCGATGACCAGGGCCCTCAGCTCTCTGAGTGGACAGAAGCAGAGAGACGTGATCGGCCTGGGCCACACCGCTGGGGTGAGGGCCGGGGTGGGGGGGCGGGGGCAGGGGGCACTTGGGGAGCCCAGGCCTGGCTTCTGCTCACACAAACTCATCCTTGGTGAGGTTGATGAAAATGTTCATCTCGTCATCCTGCATAATCCGGAAGACAGAGCTGATGTGGTGGTTCTCCAGCACGGAGCGATCGTTGTACAGGATGGCACATTCTGACCTGCCGAGCCGAAGGGCATCCCGTCCGGCACCGCTGCCCACCAAGGGAGGCCCCGGGCCCCAGGCGCACCCCGCCACTCACTTGGTCTGGATGTGGAAGCTGTTGGTGGTGCCTGTGTGCTCGTAGTCGTGGATGGCCGCCGCGAAGATGATGGCCAGGAGCTCGATCTCGGACAGGCAGTGCTGGGGCGCGGGGAGAGGGCTTCGCACCAGGCAGCCCCCCTCCCTGCCCCGGCCGCTGGCCAGCACTCCGCGGCCCCACCTGCTGCACCCAGCACCCAGCCCAGCCCAGCTCTCCCTGTGAAGTGCGGCCGCCGCGGAACGCTCTAGAAAGCTGAGGTGCTGCCCCCCTCCCCCGGCGGCACAGGGGTCAAGTCCCAGCACTAGGAAGCCGCCCGCAAGCCGCCCGGGCCAGGGAGTGACCCCCGGGGCGCGGCAGACCCCTCCTGACCCTCCCGGCCAGGCAGTGACCCCCGGGGCGCGGCAGACCCCTCCTGACCCTCCCGGCCAGGCAGTGACCCCCGGGGCGCGGCGGACCTCTGCTGACCTTCAGCGGTGTACCTCAGTGGATCCACCTGCTCTGCTCCCCACTCTCTCTGGTGAATCCTCTCACTCCCCCACACCTCTGGCCTGTACCCCAGGATCTTGTGTGCATAAATAAATAACTCTTTAAATACAAGATGTTGAGCTGCTAAAGGGAGGACCCAAAGAGGAGAAATGGAAAAGGGGGTGCAGTACAGAGCCCCCAGTTCTGCCAGCAGCCCCCCCCCCGGCGCCCGTGTCCCGTGGGCACCCACCACCATCCCGGTGCGCAGCAGGAAGCAGTGCACAGTCTGGGTCACGTCGGCCGCGTGGATCTGGTTGTGGTAGGGGTTCTTGTACTTCCCGTAGCCTGTCTCCAGGGCCTCCAGGAAAGTCATCAGAAACACAGTGGGGATCTGTGGGGGAGAGCAGTGGGGGCCCTGAGCGCCTGCGGGGGGGGGGGCCTCAGCCTGGCGCCCCTCCCTCTGCGGCGGGGTGGCCGTGGGCCAGGGCTCACTTCAGGCTCGACCCCCCCAGGCCTGTGACCCTGAGCGAGTCACCGGCCTTCTGGGATACCACCACCGACCCTGGGTTTAATGAGATAAGTACAGGGCACTCGCAAGGACTCTCTAAAGAGTAGCTATAATTATTATTATTTCCTGGAGATTTTGAAGAAAAGGAAAGAAAGTTTCCCTCCCACCTTCTAACCACCACGCCCCATCCTCCATCCAGCACCGTGGCCAAGGGGCTCAGGAGCAGGGAGAATAAGCTCCTCTAGAGAGGACCCTGCGGGCCCCGTGACTCACCCCTCCCCAGGAGCCCTCCAGGGCCCACCCTACACACACAACACGCAAAGCCCTGTCCAGACCCTCTCAAAGCCCCCTCTCTGCATGTGCCGGCGGGCGTCTGCTCCCTCCCGCCCAGGCCCAAGGCCCCCCCAGGGCAGGGCCGTCCACAGCTGTCCCCAGGTCTCCTGAGGTTGGGAGGAGACTGACAGCAGGGCTTGCGGAAGCTTCTGCAGAAAGGGGACCCAGTGCTGAGCCAGCGTGGAAGACGCACCACCAGTCAGCCAGACCCTAATGTCCCCCACCCCCACCCCAGGGCTGTGCCCCAAATTCAGGGAGTTTTAAAGGACCGTTTCCATGACAACTGCCCTTGCTTTTCTGTTGCCATGGCGTCCCTGGAGGGAAGGGGAGGAGCAGGAGAGGGAATGGGTGCCCAGGAAGGGAACATGGCGCTTGAGAAGGGCAGCCCCCCGGAGTCTCCCCGAGAGCAGCGCGGCGAAGGAGTTGCCTGGCAGGCAGGTGCCTTGGAGCCAGGCAGCTGGGCTGGGCAAACCCAACCTGCGCAGGGCCTCCTGGGACCCCAACTCAGCCCGGGGAAGCAGAGGCTGGAAGAAGCTGGGCTGGAGTATGTGTGAGAACCTCTCGGGAGCGAGACCATCTGGGAAGGCCTTTGGAAAAAGAGGACCCTGCGGTTCCCTGCCCTGGAGGGCAGGATGGATGGGAAGAAAGTGAACCAGCAGGAAGGCACAGAATAAGCCAGCTGGGCGAATGAGCAAAGTTCTGGAAACTTTCTTGAGAGTTGAAAAAGGAAGCGGCCAGGGTCAAGGCTCACACACACCAGCGGCCTGTTGTAGACAAGTGGAGGCAGGACAGACGGGCAGCCTTCCAGCGCTCTGGGCAGGGCCTTAAGCCCAACAGCCCCCCAGGACACACACTTGTCCTGCCTCCCGCCCGCCCCACCGAAGCGCCGACCAAACCTCCCACCCACGCTTCAGCCTCGCTGCCCACGGTGGTTTCTCCACCGGGGAGTGTTTCGGTTGTTTTTCCCCCTCGTCCCTATTCCCAAGACACTGCTCTCTGGCACAGCATCTGGAGAACTTTAATCCCATATTCTTCTTCCTGTCCGGCCAAGCTGAAGAGCAGATGGCGTTCACACACCCTCCCTCCCCTCACGGGGCTCTGCCAGGCCACGCCAGGAACGGAACCTCTCCAAAAAACTCAGCAGAGGCAAGCTGTCCCCAGCAAACAGACCCCAGTCCCGAGGGCACCGATGACACTGGCCTCGGGGACCCCGGTCTCCACAGACGGGACAGGGGAAAGGGGAGGCGAACTGTGAGCCGGCCTCCAGAGGACAAGCTGGGGGCGGGAGCAGAGGGCAGAAGAGCAGAGGCCCAGGCCAGCCGCCGCAGATAAGAGCTTCCCTCAGAGGACCGCATGGCCGCGGGCGGGGACTCAGCAGGAGCCTGGGGGTCTCAGACCCGGGTGGGAACGCAGAGCCCCGCTGCCCAGGGGAGGCCTGGGGGAAGCCGCCTGACCTTGAAGCGGCTGATGAGGTTGTGCCGAGTCAGCAGCTCAAACACGATGGTCCGCAGGGCGTGGCCCTCTGCTGCCCGGTTTAAGGAGAAGACGTCAAAGCACCAGCGGTCCAGGTTCTGCAGAAAAACAGCAGAGTAGGCAGGCCGACTCCACGGGCACCCCAGCAGCAGCAGGGAGGCCTTCCGGGGGTCGCAGCGGGGGAAGGAGGCGCAGGGAGAGGGGACCACCATGGGCCTCTTTCTCCCCAGGTCTCTCTCAGTGCGGGCGAGACAGGAGGCAGGTGTCTGCCTCAGGCAGGAGTCAGCAAAGGCTGCTTTGAGGAGCATGGGACCCACGGTTAGAAGGGGAGGCAAAAGTCGCCCCAGCGCAGAGTCTGAAACTCCCCTGGCAATGCACATCCTCCCCCCGAAACCCCCTTTCCCGAAGCCCAGGGGTCACCTTGAGACAGTTGAGGACGGCCGTGGAGTAGGTGGGCCCCACGGCGGTGTACGTTCTCCGGAACATCCTAGGGCGACAGAGGAGGGCGCCCAGCGTGAAGGTCTGGCCAGCGGGGTCTCACCCCAGGGGCTTGGGGTGCGCTGTGGGCAGGTGGGCCCCGCGGCGGGGGCCCAGGAGACCAGGTGGGGACAGGAGGCGGGCGGGGGGCCCGGCGGGGCGGGGGGCCGCGGGCGAGCTCACCGTTCCACGAAGATCCCGGCCTGCACCGCGTGCACGATGCTGCGGAACTTGGGCTTCTCCTCCGCGCGCCGGCCTTTGGCCCGGGCCTGCTGCGTGAAGGTGGAGGCCAGCCAGTCTCGCACCTCCGAGGGCACCGCGTCTGAGCGCAGCTCCTGCAGCTCATCCTCGGTGTCCAGGATTTGCCTGGGAGGCCACCAGGGCGTCAGGGGCCAGTCACAGGCGCTCCCGCGGTCCTGAGCCGCCGCCCAGCCGCGCCCTCCTCACTTCCCCACAGCTCTCCCGGGCCTTCTGCTCCTGCCTCTCTCTCTAGGGTGTGGGGGAATGGAGCAGGTGGGGCAGACGTGGGCCGGCAGAGCCTGGGCAAGCTCAGGCAGACCCCGAAACGCCCGCCAGCCACCTGCAGGCTCCCGCCTCTCCTGGCCGCCCCCGTACCAAGGTGAAAAGAAATAGGTGAGACTCGCTTTACAGATGCATTTTATTCGACCTAAAACATGCCAATGTGGAATCAAAACAGTTGACGTTTTCCTAAGCCTTTGAAACCCCCCCCAGGTATGTTCCGTGCACGCGTCTCTCCCCCATGGGGAATCGCCCCATTTCCAGCGCACAACAGCCACAAGCGGCCAGGCCTAGCCGCGAGGGGCACAGGATCCACACTGGAGAAGGCGAGGCCAGACGGCGGTCGGGCCCCTCCTGCCCTGAACCACCCGGCCTGGGTCTGGGCTGGTGCCTGGCCCTGAGGCCTGTCTGTCCGTCCAGCCATCTTCTCTCCGCCTGGGTCTCCACCTAGAGCTTCCTCTCTGCCTCCCAGCTGCTGCCCCTCCCCCAGGGGGCAGAGGCCCTGCGCCCTCGGCCGCGCCCCAGGCTCACCGCGTCTCATCTATGTAGACAGCCTCCAGCAGGGAAGCCGTGTACTCCAGGTTTTTCTTCAGTTCCTCAATGTTCACCTCCCCATTCTCCAACTGCTTCACCATGTAGCGCAGCCTGTGAGAGGGGACGTGGGGGGGGGGTCAGACATCCTGCTTAGGTGTGCTGCCTCATCAGAACAGGGCGCCCCCCAGGGGATGCATTTTACCCTGGGAGAACCCGCTTCAGTCTCCCAGAAATCGTGCATCACCTGACAGCAGTAACAGCAGCAGGGCCTCCCTGGTGGCCTGGGGGTCCAGTCTCAGTGCTGCCACCGTGACTGCCCTCCGCAGTGGCGCGAGTTCGATCCCCGGCCAGGGAGTGACCCCCAGGGCGCAGCAGACCTCTCCTGTCCCCCCTCAGCAGTGTGTTTCAGTCCATCTGCCTGTTCTGCTCCCCGCTCTGTCTCTGATGGATCCTCACACATACACTAGCCCCCGGCACCTCTGGCCTGTACTTGGGGGTCACTCCCTGGCCGGGGATCGAACTTGCGCCACTGCGGAGGGCAGTCACGGTGGCAGACTGAGACTGGACCCCCAGGCCACCAGGGAGGCCCTGCTGCTGTTACTGCCGTCAGGGTTTTCCATCTCAGACTACTGCCGCTGTGTTAAGTTTATGTACCCCTAAAGTTTAAGCCAGACTTACCCGACTCCACCATCCCCACCCATCTCTGACCTCTCAGCATCCCCTTGGTCAGTATTAGCTCAAACTCTAGTTTCAATTGCCCCAGCAGGACTGGGTAGGTGCAAGCCTCTAGGGAGCTGTTTGGGGAATATCTGTTTCATAATCAGAACAATCAAGAGCTGGGACTGTTTGCTTCCCCCACGAGAGGGGGCTCCCCGCGTCGACAGCAGTCAAGGCGCCCCCCAAGGCCCTTTCATTATGTGTCCAGGTCACGATGGGGAAGGGGGCACATGGCCACAGCCCCTCTGTTCCTGGCAGGGGTGGCAAAGACCCAGAACAAAGACCAAATGGAAGGCTGTCGCCTGGCCTCACCCCATCCAGGCAGAGCTAATGGATTATGATTCCAGAATCCATCAACCAGGACAAAGCAGGATTAACCCCTGCCTCCCGGGGCTGCACCGAAATGGAAAAAAGTAACACCCCGTTCCCTGCCTTGCCCTCAGCAGCTTCCCCGGCCTCCGTGGCGGGGCGGGGGCAGGGACGGCTCCACGGGACACTTTGCCCGAAGGGACAACCCTCATATTTTGCACGGGTGGATTCTGGGGATTTATGATTAACTGTAGGCTTCTGGGAAAGCTGGCGAGGCCAGCCCCGGCAATCACAATCACAAAATCACAATCACAAAGCGAAGCTCCCTGGCTTCAGATGGTGATTTTAAAGAAAGCGGTTCAACACTCCCCGGGGTTCCTCCCCCCAGGCTCCCTCCCCCACCTTAAAACCCAGATGGGGTGAAATGGCGGCCATCACAAATCCCCACAGAGAGGGGCTTCAGAAGCCCAAGCTCACCCTGTGAGTCAGGCAAAAGAGAATGAGTCAGGGCGGGAGGCCGAAATTAGCAGCAATTCCCAGGGATGCTGCGGGAGGGAGAACAATAGCATTCCTGAACAGGGCAGCTCTGGGATCCCGGGGTGTCGGCGGTTTGGGAACGGGAGTCCCCAAAATAGCCAGTCAGGATGCCGCACAGCCGACTCTCACCTCAGCAGAACCAGCTGCAGCACATCTGGATGCAAGCGGGGCGGGCGGGGGCGGGGGGCAGGCCGAGAGGCGCGAGTCGGGGCGACCCTGCCGCCTTCTCAGTGGCCGGCCGCTGCACCATCTCCAGGTGGACACAGCGGCTGTCTAGCAGCAAGGCCAGGCTCAGCCCAGCTTCGTTAGGGAGGAGGGACAGAAGCTGGGAACACGAAAGCTTACCCCAGTCAAGTGAGGTAGAAAGGGGGTGCTGAACCCACAGCCCCCACAGTGCCCACTGAGAGGCGGCAGACAAGAAGGTGAGGGACACTCTGCCTTTGGGGCCCCAGGCTGGGCTCCCTCTCCAGAGCAGTCTAGGTGGCTGGGCCCTGCACTCAGGAAGAAAAGAACCCCTGAGCCCCTCTCTCCCCAAGACTCCCTCTCCGTCAGTCCTCCTCACAGCCCAAAACTCTGCCCCCCAGTCAATGCCCAGCGCCAGAACTGGCCAGGTTTCTTCGGACCCAAAAGGCACATCCCAGCTCGGGCTCCCAAGTGAGCAGCCCCGCCCACGGCGCTCATTTGCATGCATTTGCATAATCACTGAGGAGGCTGCCAGTGCTGCATTTCAGAAAGCCTTGCTCCTACATTATCTCATTTTATCCTCACAATGGGCCTAAAGGGAGGGGGGAGGAGGGAAGGGATTGCTGTCCCTATGGCCCGGAAGAAACCTAGGCTCCCTCAGGCCTGGGTCTGGGAGGCAGGACTCCCGGGTCCCGACTGTCACTCCGGGCTCCCGCGCTCTGGGCCCGGGCAAGTCACCGAGTCAGTACCTAGCACTGCGTGCGCACAGTAGGTCGACGGCCTCGGAATCCCCGGATGCGTGCTAACATTCTAGATGCTAGGCGTCTCCACACACCTTTGGACCAGAATTTTCAAGGGTGTGGTCCGCGGATCCATATTTTTAACAAACAACCCCAGGATCCTCAATCACACCGAAGTCTGAGAAACTACTTGAGAGCCCATTTCCTTCACCTGTAAAATGGTAAGAATGACAAAGAACCCCCCTCCCATGAAGCGCTGTCTGGGGGAGATTTAAATAAGGTACGTGAAAGCCTGGCACAGACAGGGAGCCTCTATATTTGTGACTTAAACCTGGGCTGGTCCTGCCCAGCCCTCACCTCACTCCCTTCGAGCCCAGCAAACACCTGCCTTCCCATCCAAACCCAAGTGGAAAGAGCCTGGGTGGGATGGAAGCTGGTAACGAGGGAGCTGCGTCACAGAGGGGCGGGAGGCAGGCAACCGGCCCCAGCTCTCCTTGACAATTCCAAACTCCCTTGAGCCTCGCCACCACCTGAGGAGGGGGCTAAGTGCTTTGCCCAGGGTCACACATCTCGTCAACCTCTCAGACCGCAAACCTGCAGCTCCCAGGACCTTCCCCCACCAGCACCTGAGCAGAGCGAGCGGCAGCAGGAAGCCAGTCGCCGAGCAGCTGGGAGAGGCGCCTTCCTGCACAGCTTGTCCAGAGACAGCAACAGCCCATCCTTCCTCAAGTGCAGGTGTCCCTGGCCCCAGAGACAGCACCGGCAGGGACTTGTTTCTCTTGGCAGCTAAGCACAGCGTGCTCAGTGAGTGCTCAAGAAATGTTTGCTAATAAATAAAAGAGGTGGAGGGGGCAGATAAATCAGGTATGGGGCTATCTGGGGGGGGGCTCACAAGTGAGAGCTGAGCCGGAATTCCGAACCCAAGCGGGAAGACCCAGCAGAACAGTGAAAGAAGTTGTAGGCTGGCTGCCAACACACCTGCCCCCAAGGTTCCTCCTGCCCCCCCACCCCCGCCTCGCTTCTAGATGTGATACAGAAGCGCTTCTAGCTCCTGCTGAAATGTGAATCCAACTGGATCCACACATCGGGGAAGGGAGGGAAAGATTAAAGAATAAATTTGACAAACGGGGAGTCCCAGAGGGAGCCTGGACTTGGGAAACTGGAATAATCCTGAACTTCACCCTCCTGAAGTTGTGAAACTCTCCCCAGGCCTCCCTTTCTGGCCTGCAGGGGCCAACCCTCCAGAGTTAGGGCCTCCCAGGCCCACCCCAAGTCCTCACTGCACCACTCTTCCGCAGCAAGTCCCCATCTGTTTTAATCCAGCACCCCTGGCTCAGCGCTCCGAGGCCTGGCAGGGGATAGTCCCTTTCTCTGCACACCTGGATGCTCCAGGCTGCCTGTCCTCATCCAGACCTAGGAGAACTGCATGCTTGCTTCCACATCAGCAACTTTCACCAACATCAGTTTCTGCCTTTTCGCTTCAGTCCCTGCACCATGAGAAAAGCCTCCGACCGCGACCCCCGGAAAGCCTCTAGTCTGTCCAGCTCCAGGCAGCCGGCTGGACCGAGACTCCTGGCAGAAAGAATCCAAACCATTCACTTCTGCACATCACCGCAAGGCTGACCATCTGGAGAATGCCGAAGCCATGACCTCCAGCAGCCACAACCCCCAAAAGACCACAATGAGCAGGAGGCGTACGGGTCAAGGCACCTCGAGCCAAGGGCTGGAAGTTGGGAGAAGAACCTACTACCTTCTGGGGTCCTTATGACAAGAGAGAAGGCAATTTCAGAGGAATGTGAAGTCCTGTGGACTGGGGGTCAGGAAAGAGAAAAGGGGGGGACATTATTTGTGGGCCACAGTTACGCAGAAGCGATAAAAAGACAGAAACCCGGAGCGAATTAGGAGCAGGCAAGAGAGATGGGAGTGCAAAGTGGAGGAGCTGGGTGGCCATGCACCCCGTGTGTGGAGGGGTGGGGGGGACAGCCACTCGGTCCCTCCCTGCAAACTGCCCCTCAGGGCCTGAGCTACCTGCCCTCCGCCCCCTCCTCTCGCCTACCTGAGGATGGGGCCCTGGAGGAGGCGCCTCTGCACGGGAACAGGGTTTGCCATGGAAAGCTTCCCACTTGGAGCCTAAAAGTGCTGCCCCCAGGCCGGGGCCCTTGGGGGAAATGACCCCTCCTGGGCTCTGACTTCCTCCTCAGTCTCAGAACTGAGGTCTGACCAAGGGAACTTTGCGTGGACTAGGAGGTAGGAGGGGCCTGGCTAGAGGAAAGGAGTTGGGGGGCCGAGGCCCGAGCAACTGGGTAAGAGGCCGAGGGAAGTTTCACATCTGAATCAGACTAAAAACAAGAATCTGTTCTCAGAAGAATCCCAGAAAGGACAGAAATAGCACAGGCCAGCCCCTGCTCCCAGGAGGTGGGGCTCCTCTCGGAGAGGAGGAGGTTGGCGGGCAGGACCGGCACCCCGACGGGCCGTGGAAGGGAGGCCGGGTGGGGGCCAGGCCTGAAGCGCCACACAAGGCTGAGGCATATTCAGTTCCCGGGAGGGTCGTTTTTCAGCGCACTTCTCCGAAATGAGCTTTGCCCCACCTGAAAGAATGGAGGCAGGAAGGAGAGTTCGAAACCGTTAGTGAGGCGTTAGCCGAGCGAGGCGAGGGCTGGGGCGCCCCGACCTATGGACCTGCTCCCCAGGAAGACACCCCGACCCCAAGCCGAGAGAGAGCCCAGACTTGACCGGCCAGACCAGGGGGTGGCCGAGTGCTGAGCGCGCCCGTCCTCAGTTTTCTCATCTGTAAAACGGGAACCGGGAGCCACGAGTTCACCGGCAAGACACCACGGCAGCCCCGAGGGCCCCAGCACCGACGGGCGGCCCCGAAGAAGGGAGAAGAAGGGAAGGGGAGAGCACCGGGCGGGCCAGGCGCCACCTGCTCCCCGGCCCGCGGCCCGCAGCCTGCAGCCCACCGGCCCCAGCGGCCGCCGCTGCCCGCGAGGGGACGTGCGCACGCGGCCCGCCCGCTCCGGATTGGCCGTGCGATGACGTCACCAACAGCCGTGCCCGGGGCCGCGATTGGTCAGCCGGGGTGCTGGGCGGGGCGAAGGAAGAAAAAAAGGGGTGAGGCGGGCGCCTCCAAGGAGTCCCGCGCGGCCCCCTCCCCCCGCAGTCCCCAGCCCCCTGGGTCGGGGGTCCAGGGCTGGGGCCATGGGGGGGGGGATGGACAGGGGTGGGGTGTGGGGGGAAGAGGGGGTAGGAAGAGGAAAGGGAGCAGGCCAAGAGCCCGACTTGGTGCCGGGAAGCGTCTCTCCCCCAAAGCAGGGAGAAATGAAAATACCTTGTCCCTGTGCCAGAGCCTTGAGAGATTATAAACAAGTGAAGTTCGGGGGCCTGCTGGGTCTCCCTGGGCTGCTGGGCTGCAGCGGGCGGGCAGCAGGAGCGCCCCGCCAGGGCGGGAGGGGCGAGACCCAGAAAGTTGTGTTCTGGGGAACCCTGGTAGCCATGAAGCGGCTGCTGCAGGCTTTGGGGGGGACGGAAACCCACTGCCCGTGGTCCCCAAATCACTCACGTCCACCCACGCGCCTGCACGCGCATCCTGGGTAGTGTTCTCTGGAGAGGACTAGACTCCAGTTGGGGGCCCACAGCGGCCCCCCAGGCGGTGAGGGACAAGTCTTTGGCCTGGAGGCCAGGTGCTTCTTGTCTGGGGGGATGGAGCTGGTGCGGGCAGGGGGAAAAGCAGGGGGACCCAGCTGCTGTCCACCTGGACGACAGGCCAGGCCAGCTCCTCCCTCACCCTTCCCCCCCCCCCCCCCCCCCCCCCCCCCCCCCCCCCCCCCCCCCCCCCCCCCCCGCAGGCCTCCATTGGAGCAGGATTCCTACTGCAAGGGAGAGTTCTGAGACTAGGGCAGCTCTGGAGGGCTTTTGTCCACCTTTGGCCCATCCCCTGCCTTCTTGCCCAATAGAGCCAAAGCGCATGAGACCCGTGACGCACAGCACCACCCCCACGCCCCACGCGTGCGTGCTGCCCGCCCCCAGCCAGACGGCCCTAGTAAGGGGCAACGCTGGCCACTGGCGTCCCCTCCTGAGGTACCAGTGTCCCACACGCTGTACCTCTGCCTGAGCAAAGGAGACTGTCCCCTGAATGCGCACACAGCGCAGAGGTGCCCACCCCAGCAAAAAGCCCGCTGGAGTTTCCTTTACCTGGAAATTGAGTTAAGAGCGGAAGAGTTTAAAAGCGCCCCCTGGCGGCGCAACGGGTTAAAGCACAGCACCATGAGGCTGTCCGCAGCCCCTTCTCGGCAAGTTCAATCCCCGCCCCAGGTGACCCATATGGCGCGGCGGACCTCCCCTGTCTCCCCGCTGCTCCCCTCAGCAGTGTGCTTCGTCGCTCTGCCTGTTCCGCTCCCCGTTCTGTCTCTAGTGAGCCCTCTCACCGCTCCTGCTCCTCTGGTCTGTACCCCAGTTCTGTATGCACAAATAAATAAATAAATCTAAAAAGAAAAGCAGAACGGTGCCACTCACTTCGCCCCCTCTGGCGCCTCACCCCCAGCCCCACCTGCACTGAAGAGGCTGGGGTAGGCGATGAGCAAAGGACCAGAGACTGTGCTTCTGGTCAGAGGAGGGGGGACAGGGGAGGAGTGGGGGGACGGTGGTGCCGAGGAGGGTGTAAGTGACGATCTCAAGGCTCTGTAATCTCAGCAATTAAAAGACCCTGGAAAGACATCTCAGAGCAACGAAAGGAAAGATGAACGGAACGCGCGTTTCCGCCTAGGCGCGCTCACGTGTGAGCTTGGGCACGGCACCCCGGCTACCGCGTCTCGTCTGGGAAACGGTGAATAACACCTGCCTGGCCGAGTTCTCACATGACCTGCTAAGAGCTATGAGCTGCCTCGCAGCCACAAAGCGCCGCATGAGTGCAAGAGATGACTATTTGTTTAGTGACTTCCACAAATGTCCATGAAGAGCCCTCCCAATGATGGGAAACCCACGGGGATTACAATTGAGATGGGGAAAAAATGTACAAAATGATGTAAAAATAAGCTATTATATTATAATAAATAAATAAATAAATCTTAAAGCAATTAAAAAGAGAGAGAGAGAGAGCTCTCCCAAGACAAAACCTCTACACCCACTCTCGGCCCCGGGGTCCTCTGATGAGGAAGAGCAAGGTGGCCCACCAGCCCCACTCCCGGTTGTCTGGGGCCTCCCCCAGCCCGTTACCCCACAGGGCCAGGCCCAGGATGGAAGCACGCGGACCGTGCAAGGCGGGGAGCCCCAGGACACCAAGAACAGCCAGATCTCCCCCTTCCCAACACAGCGGCTCCCCTCACTCCCTGGCTTCCCGTTGCGACACTGTTCTGGCAGCTGGCTGGGCACAGAGGCGGGGGTGGCTCCAGAGACTAAAATATCCCCCCTGGCGATAGAAGTGGGGTTCCATCCTGGGAGGCGGCAAGCTTCAGCTTGACATGGCGCTCGCTGGGATGGACAGGGAGGGGAGAACTAGGGCCCGGTGGAGGGAGGCGACGGAGAGTGCCTGTTGCTGGAGGGAAGAACGGAGATTTGAAAGGCGCCTCGCTTCTCCAGAGGCTCCAGGAAGAACTGAAGAAGGGGGGCGGGTGGGCACGGGCCAGCCCGAGGCCCCCCGCCGCGGCCCTCCATTCTCACAGGTGTCCCCAGCGAAGGTCCAGCGCGGATCAGATGACGAAGGGGTCATCCAGAAGGCTTGAGCTGTGAGCCAGACTGCCAAGAACCCAGGACCCCAGGTCCTGACTGCGCCCTGGAGCGGAGCCAGAAGAGGGAGGCCAAAGGGGAGGACCGGAGGGGGTGAGCTCTCTGGCGCTCCGTGTCCCCTTCTCCCGCCTGCACTGTTTAATTCTGCTCATGTCCCCCTCCACCTGGACCACCCCAGCAGCCCTCGAGACAGCTGTTCCCAGCGGACATCTTGCTTCCGGGGGGCCTGACAGATGCCTGGGACGGGAAAGTGAGTGGAAGCTTGGCAGAGGCCTGACTGCAGGGGACAGACACCAGACTGTGGGCCTGTGGGCCTTGGGGCCTGCTGCAGCCCCGCACCACCGCCCCCCGCTATCTCTGGCCATCAGTTTCTGCCTCTGTGATACGTTTTGATCCTCACATTCAGTGCTGGGCTGGAGGCACAAGGGAAGTCCTAGTTCCTGGGTTCACATTCCTGCTTCTGACTGGCTCCCTCGCCCCCTCGGCCCTAACCTGATGCCTAGGAGAGGGTGGCTTTCTTCTTTATCGCAGCCGGGTCCAGCCCCCATGATCTTTTAGGAAGTTCTCTGCACATCCACCTTCAGTCCATCTTGCGGCCATCCGAACAGCAGCAAATTGTCTTGGCGTTTCAGAGGTCAGAAAGAGAGAAATCAGGCAGGACAAAGAAGTCTTTGGAGAGCCGCTGGTGCAATGTGCTTTATTATACTTCTTTCGGGTCAGAGTCTAAGGCTTAGTGGAGAGGTAGTCAGGATTTAGGGAGCTTAGCAACACCATTGGCACATGTGTTCATTCAGCAGGGGCCCCAAGAAGTTTTGAGGCCAGGTGAGCGTAGCAGAGAAAACTAGGGCCAAAGTCAGATATACAAGAGCTGAGAAACAGGGGGCAGGGAGGAAGGAGAGGTGTCTGTGGGCCCCTACCAGGGAAACATGAAGCCCCCGGAGCCACACTCACTCGCCAGCCTCGGTGGGACCAGCCGGAAGCCTAACCAGCGCTGCAGCCGCCCTGGCCATTTGCAAAGCTGACGTCTCATTGCAGCTGCAGAATCGACTGGGAACCTGCCTGGCTCCAGCACCTCCTGCAGCCCCTCCTTCCACCTCTGCTTCCAGCCCCCAGAACGCTCGCTGATACCCCCTGTCCTCATCCCTCCTTGCCCGCTTCTCTGACCCCACCCCCACCCCACCACACACACACAACGCCCTCAGTGGACTTCTGCCAGGTCTGGGATACCAAGAGGAATGTGTTTTCTTCCCAGAGGGAATCATCTCACAGGCAGCAGGAGCTGGGGGGTGGGGGGGTGCAGCTGAGGGGCACAAGAGGGCCAGAGCGGCTGTGGGTCAAAAGCCCAACACCTCCCCCCCCACCCCGGCCCAGGACAGAGACAGCTGGGT